CATATCATTGTAAAATCATTGTGGTTCATCTACTTATAACACTCATAATCTAAGAGAATATATTGAACAAATAACCTCAAAAATTATTACTTTGTAGAAAGTAATTTGAAAAGGAAGGTCTGGGAGTTTAATAGACAGCTATAATTTTGACAGGTAAGCAAATGACATAGTTACTGGGAAAGCCAAATTTAAGCTAAAAAAATGACTTGTAGAAAGGCAGGTAATGAGAAGTGATAACACATGCAATGATCCTGAGAAGAAAAGAATTCAAACCCATAGAATATGAAATTCAATATGGCTGGGGTACAATGAGCAAAAGCTTAGTTCACACAAAAAGCTAATACCTAAAACTAAGAAATGTTGGCAGAAGCCAGACCAAAATGTCCCTGATAGGTTAAGATCAGTTAGCACAGTGGTGATGACTAAGAATATGTCTCAGTGTGCTAAGAGTTTGTTGTATGAAGAGAAGGACCCAAGTTCAGCCCCTGACAGTCATCGAGAGGCATAGAGGCAAAATCTGCCAACATCAGCACTGAGAACGGAGGAAGTCAATGAAGAGGCCAGCCAGCTTTGCTGAAATAATGAGCTTCAAGTTCACAGAGAAACCCCATTCTCCCAATATAAGGCAGATAAGTATGTAAAAAAGATACCTAATGTTGAATCTGGCTTTCATTCATGCAGACATGGACAAGAGCATTCACTCTCATGTGGCCAAAAATGTGTATATGCTGTTTTCATACAATGAAAAAAAAGAAGGAAGAAATGAAGGAAGGAAGGAAAGAAGGAAGGTAGGTAAGGAGGAAGAGACGGTAGGTAAAAATAGAAATAAAATATACTGTGGCTTTAGGGTTGAAGGAAGTAAACAATAGGATGTAATACAAATATACTCTAGATAGAGGGACAAAGACAAGACTGATTATTAGAAGAGCTAAATTTTAAGCAGAAGATACAGTTAAAAGTATATGGTAACAATTAAAGAGAATGGTCATGCTGCCTCAGACTACGGCAGTGCCAGTAAAGATGGAAAGCAGATCTCTGATGTATATTTCAGTTGTGATTAGGAAGAAGTTAATGATCTTTTTTGATCAATTTTAATGCATAATTTAAGGCAGAATTCTGATTGCTATTAGTTGAACAGTGAATGAGAAGTAAGGCAGTTGGAAGCTAATGAACACTTGCAGAAAAAGCTGATGATAGGAAGCAAAAAGAGGGCAGTAAGTAGCAGAAACCTTGGATCAGTAATACATTTTAATTCAAACATCTATCCATCTATTTTAGGCAGAGAGTGACAAGATTTATATTCTCCAAAAGAAAACCATAGTAGACTGACAAATTGAAGCAGCCACCTTAAAAGCACAAGTACAGTAAGAAAGAAATAATGTTGTCCAGAAGTAGAGGGGGTAGTAATGCCCAAAGAAGAAATAGGGGTCGTTTGTATATATTAGATCATCTACCTCATCACTCTTTTCCCTCCCCCTTTCTTTAGTAAATCACACTACTTAAAAGCACTACTATGAATTCTAACTGAATTTAGCACCTACTATTTACTATGAAATCTTGGAAAAGTTACCTTAGCTTGGTTGGCTTCAGATTCTTCAACAGTAGTACATAGCTAGTAACAGTGTCAACCTTGCAGTTTACCTCACAAATTATAAGAGAACACAAAATTTTCAACTGGCTTGAACTTGAGCAGGTAATATATAAGTAACTACAGGTGTTGTGAGTTGATGTGTGCACTGTTAGTTTGCTCATATCTTACAAGGTAACTCCATAGACATGTGTGTATAGACAGCATTAACAGGAATTATTGATAAAAAAAAATAGTATGACATGAAGTTGGAAAGAGATAAGGGTTAGCAGTAGGGGACACATAAAGAGGCAACAATGGATAAATATGATCAAAGTATGTTGTATAAATGTATTTTCTCAAAAATAATTTTAAAATACTATTTAAAAATGGTACAAGTAAAAAAAAAAAGTTAACATAAGCCAGGTACAGGAGTGCACACACCTGTAATCCCAGCATTTGGGTGAGGGTTAGTGGATCTCCATGAGTTCAAGGCCAGCCAAATGAGTACAGGACAGCCAAGGCTACACAGAGAAACCCTGTCTTGAAAAACAACAACAAAAAAGTTAGCATAAAGTACAATTTCATAATCTTTTTGCAATCAGTAACACTGTAATAGAACCATTAATAATAAAAATAGCCCATCTCCTTTTCTGTTATTTGAAGAAGACCTTGATAGGCTAGGGTCAGATGGAAGGGGAGGAGGACCTCCCCTATCAATGGGCTGCAAGAAGGGCATGGGAAGAGGGCTGCAAGAGGCAGGGAGGGCCAGATTGGGAGTGGACGATGGAGGGGGTTACAGTTGAGATACAAAGTGAACAAATTGTAATAAAAAATAATAATAAAGGGAGGGGGACTGAGGTTAGATCTCTCTTCTGCAGTAATTGCCTAGCATGTGGGAGATTTGGGCTCAGTAACCAGAGCAACAAAAACAAACAGCATCCAAGAACAATGTTGACTAGCTACAAACTTGATTACAGAAGTTGAGACAAGAGACTATCCTGAGCCCTTAAGTTAGAGACAAGCCTCGATGATAGAACAATAAAGCAACTCTGGAGGTAGAAGAGACACTAGAGATCCTAAAATGCTTTTGTTGTGTCACTGGCATGAAAGAGCTTGTGGCAAAGGAGAACAGATGAACAGCTAGAAGAAGAAATGGTAAGAAATGAAAGACAGAGGAACATGGAATTTGAATCTTATTTTCTGAAGTCAGGGAAACACTGAAGAGTTTTGATATTAAAATTATAAATATGAAATTTTAATATGAATACACTATGTAATAATGACAATAGGTGAAGAAAGCTAAGGCCAGGGGCTTTACCAAGTTGAGAAATCAATTACTAGTAAGAATTCTGTTTTCCAAAGCTCTCTTCACATTAAGCAGCTGTTATAAATTAAAGGGTTAAATAGTATGACAGTATATTCTCACAGAAGTAATTTCATTTGGTATTTTATTACATGTTTTAATTTTCTGTCCTTTTAAAATCTCTAACTCACACTTTTCTCTAAATTTTTTTTTTATAATTCAACAAAAATTTACTGTCTGTTTTACACAAAAGGCTGTACTTAAATTTAAGACTAAGGTTATTAATTATTAGGGCTATTATTATATAATTAATAATTTATTTTTAAAAGAGTGGGCTTAGACTTTATTTAGGAAGTCTCAATTGATATTCTTAGGCAATTTACATAGTATGAACCACTTAGTAGTAAACCAGATTCTCTCTGACATCACTCAAGCAGACATACAGCAAAATACAATAAGAGTAAACATGGGGACTAGGAGAATTCATGTACATGTAACCTTAAATATTTATGGTTATGTGCATAAACAAGAAATCTCTTCCATTTTCTATTTTTGCCTTTAGTTCAGAAGGTATATTGCTTTTTATGCTCCCCTATTTCATTTCCTTACTGTGGTACAAAGGATATTCCTCTTGTAGGACTTGCTTGACAAACATCTTCCTAGATAAACTGCACTCAAGGAAAAATGGTTTCTGAGAAACTGTGTAGTGTACCTACTGTAAAACTCATAACCACCATGATGCAGCTGAAATCTCAGATGTTGTATAGCCCTGCTTCAATTATAAGATACATCTGAGTTGCTTAGGTTTCGAATGTGGACTTGGGGCTACAAATTTTATTATTTAGCACTCTGCTAAAGTACCACTAGTTATTAAATAATACAGAGGCAATTCAGTTGACTAATAGATCTGATTTAAAAATAAGAGAAATATGTTCCCTAGGTACACTATATGTTCTATTTGATCCCAAATATGCTTGTGTGATTTCCTTTACTAGTATTTCACAGATTTTCTTCAATGTAGGCAACAGCATGCCCTAGAATCAAAGAACTTTAAACATATGGAAGCATTTATTGTACATGCTAAAAAGAACATACTCAGTCCCATCTAATTGAGCGTCATATTAACAAGATATTAAAACTGCAAAGTAGTAAATCAAACCAATTCTAATATAACTATATTCAAATATGATGGAATATTTTGGATTAGGTAGCTCCTATTTGAAAAACCGGCATATTTGTAATAAAAAAAAAATCCTTTGTTTACAAATGGAAAACAATCAAGAGGCAAAGTAAAGAAGAATTTACCATAAAGGAATTACTCATTTACATAACAAATAAATCTGTCCTGAATTAAAAAAATAAATATTTTAGGGGTTAGGAATTTAGCTGAATGGTTGAGTACTTGACTGGCAAGCTAAAGGCTGTGGGTTCAATCCCCTGCTCTCAAAAAAAAAAAAAAAAAAAAAAAAAAAAAGGTTTTATTTCAAAGAAACTAAAATTCTAATGCCCTTTATATTCTCTTTCTGGCTAATTATTTGAATAGCAGGCTTGTGGTATTTTAAGGTACATGACTATATTCTTTATACTCAGTTATTTTGTATCACTTCAAACGGTGGAGATAAGGAAAATGATTAACCTACAAGAGATACCTTTATAAATTATTTGTCCTGACAGAAATTACACATTGCAAGCTGTCAATTAATTAGTGACACTGTAGAAAATTTGAAAATACTTGTGATTTTTCTGACACAATATATATAGTAAAAATAGTTGCTAGTATTTTTTTTTTCATTTACCTAGATCTTAGACTTTTATTTCAGTCTAAGATTTCAGGGAGCTAAAACCTAAAAATTATATCTGAAGGGAAGTAAATTAGCTAAGTGCAACACAGCATACTATTCTGTTTGCATTAATATAATTAAATATCAGCACTATTAAAGAGAATATCCTATAATGTTTTGACATATTTTAAAAAGTAACTAAGTTAAAAAGTAACTTAGTTACTTTTTAAAACCACAAATGCCTATAAAGCTTTTTCTAAGTAGTTATACAATAAAAGAAATCGACTAATGTATTTCTTCTGCTTTGTGAGAAGTGTATTCTTAGGCCTTTGGGATTAATACATACCACAACACCAAACTGCTCAGGCTCACAGAGATCATCATATTCACTCTTAAGCTGAGCTAGTTCTCGGAGTATATTCTGCTCGGGGAGATGTTTTACAAGATTCTAAAAAGAAAAGCATAAAAGGTTAGTAGTTGACCACTAAGACTTTTAGACATTCATTGACAACTCAAATAAAGATATAATATATATAGTAAAAATAGTTGCTAGTATTTTTTTTTCATTTACCTAGATCTTAGACTTTTATTTCAGTCTAAGATTTCAGGGAGCTAAAATGTAACATTTATATCTGAAGGGAAGTAAATTAGCTAAGTGCAGCACAGCATACTATTCTGTTTGCATTAATATAATAATTAAATATTAGCACTATTAAAGAGAATATCCTATAATGTTTTGACATATTTTATGAATGTAAATTAGCTAAGTGCAAAATTTACCTTTTTAAAAAGATTTGTCAAAATATTAAAGATTTATAGCTTCCATCATGGCTATATATCACTGAATCAGATTACCTAGAGTGATAAATGAATTTCTATACAAAGGAAAAGAACAGACTTAACAAGAAATGAAAGTCTGGATATATGGAAAAATCAATAATAAATAAAGAAAGAATAAAATCAGAAATCGCACACTTCCCAATAAAGAAAAAGCCAGCTTGTTATGGACTCAATAAAAAATATATAAAATAATTAAACTTGTGAAAGAAGTAAACAGTAAGATCTAGAGAGGACAGGAGCTCCACAAGGAGAGGAACAGAACCAAAAAATCTGAGCACAGGGGTCTTTCCTGAGACTGATACTCCAACCAAGGACCATTCATGGAGATAACCTAGAACCTCTGCACATAGTAGTCCATGGCAGTTCGGTATCCAAGTGGGCTCCATAGTAATAAGAACAGGGATTGTCTCTGACATGAACTGATTGGTCTGCTTTAATCACCTCCCCCTAAGGGGGGATCAGTGTTACCAGGCCACAGAAGAGGAGAATGCAGTCACTCCTGATGAGACCTAATAGACTAGGATCAGAAGGAAGGAAAAGAAGACCTCCCCTATCAGTGGACTTGGGGAGGGGCATGCATGCAGAGGGTGGAGGAAGGGAAGGATTGGGATGGGAGGAGGGAGGGAACCACAGGGAGGATACAAAGAGAATAAACTGTAATTAATAAAGAATTATAAAAAAGAAACACTTTATAAAAGAGATTTTTAAAATATATGAGCTACAAAAATAATTAAACTGCAATTACTACCTTTTTTCCTAAAAACTTTTATAAAAAAACAAGAGGGAGGAATATTTGCTAACTTACTCTGTGAAACCAGTACTATTGATATCAACACTACTAAACCACAGGAAAAGAAAGAAAAACTAAAGACTGATGATAAACCCCTAATTTACAATGTGTGTGCTTTTGGTTTACTTAACTTATCACTCTGATTAGAACATTAAGTATTAAGGTGTATGTGAGTGGTAAAACAGGTTTGACTGACTTATTTATTGATTCTGACTTAAAAAATTAGCATTGTTATACAATGTAAATTTCTTACAGACTACTCATAAATAGTACAATTTCAAGTCTATTATGTCAAACATTTTCTTTTATTAGAGACTTTAATCAATTCATAGTGTTCATTTTATCAGCCTTGTAGCTAATACTCGCTAATTTATTTTCAAAGTGACTTACATTTTTAAAAGTTATTCCTTGGTTATTCTATTATTAGATATTTTTTATATCTAATATGTCAAATGCCAGTTGATAAAAAAATCTTAATAAAATATAAGACACTGAAATCATCAAAACAACTTTTGAATAAAAATAGAAAAAGAGCTCATACAAATGACAGCAAAAATTGGGAAATTCCTAATTATGTAGGAATGTTTGAACAAACTCTTAAAAAATGGTTCATAAATTCAACACAAGAAAAACAAACAGAGCCTGAGTATTATGGGATTGAATATTGTAAATCAGATATTTGATCAGGGCATTTTTAAAAGAAAGAAAAAGTGAGAAAAAGCAACAGAAAAATATTTGAAGAAAAATGATTAACATTGAAATTCAAAGTCACGTGAATATACACACTTAAGAATTTCATCAACTTAAATATGTTAACCTCAAAGTGATGGGCAGTGAGGCACATTATAGTATACATTCAAGACTCAAAAACTAGTAAGTTTTAAATTGTAATAAAAGAGAAGATAGTTGTCTTATACAGATGTTTTTTTTCTTTTAATTTACTTTTATTATATATTTATTAATTATAATTTATTCACTTTGTAACCCTGCTGCAGCCCACTCCCTTGTCTCCTCCCAGTCCCACCCACCCTCCTTCTTCTCCCCGCTATACCCTTTCCCTAGATCCCTGATAGGGGAGGACACCCTCCCCTTCTATCTGACCCTGGCTTATCAGGTCTCATCAGGACTGGTTACACTGTCTTCCTCTGTGGCCTGGCAAGGCTTCACCACCCAGGAGAAGGTGTTCAGAGAGCCTGCCACTGAGTTCACATCACAGATAGCCCTTGCTAGGGTACCCATTTCAAAACTGAGCAGCCAATCAATAAAAATGCCCTGAGAAATACAATTATAATTCTCTGTCAAGCAAAAAAAAAAAAAAACAAAAAAAAACCAATTCCACTTTATCAACAAAAAAACAAAAAGATCAAACATGTTTTTTTGTTTTTTGTTTTTTTTTTTTTTTGTATATGATCATATGAACAAAAAAGAGTGCATGGATACACATAATCATGCATGCACAACCCTATTAAAGATAATGAACATTTTAAAACTCAATTTCTATTTACTCAATCATTTACAATTGATTCAAAATGGTATCAAAAAAAACATTGTTTCACATTTACTTCAATGTTTTCTATGAAGAAATTGAGAATATCATGTGCTGATATCTTAGGGTTTCTATTGCTGTGATAAAACACGATGACCAAAAGCAAGTTGGAAGGGGGAAAGGGTTTATTTGATTTACACTTCTACATCATCATTCATAATTGAGGAAAGTGAGAGCCAGAACTCAAAGAGGGACAGAACCTGGAGGCAGGAGTTGACATAGATGCCATCTAAGGATCCTGCTTACTGGCTTGCTCAGTCTGCTTTCTTCTGGAACCCAGAAGAACCAGCCTAGAAATGCAACCATCAGAATTTACCAACATGTACTAGCTCATTCTAACATAGCTCTCTCCTTTTTCTCTTTTTAAATAAATAAATAAATAAATAAATAAATAAATAAATAAATAAATAAATAACATTCGCAGCTTTATTTGCTGCCTCATTCAGCTTCAGCTACCTTGTCTCTTTGCCTTCCCTAAGAAGGATCTAGTACAAAACAGAATGTTGGTTCTTGTTTACACATCCATTTTGTTAGTCTGTGTCTTTTTATTGAAGAGTTGAGTCCACTGATTTCAGAGAGAACAATGACCAGTGACTGTTAGATCCTTTATATATATACATATATATATATATATATATATATATATATATATAGAGAGAGAGAGAGAGAGAGAGAGAGAGAGAGAGGTTGTGGTAATATATTTGGAATGATAAAAAAAAACAAAGAAGAATAGTTAAAACAATCATCTACAATAAAAGATCTTCTGGAGGAATCTCTAATCCATGATCTCAAATTGTACTATAGAACAACAGTCATAAATACTGCATTATACTGACATCCAAACAGATTGGTGGATCAGTGGAAACAAATAGAAGACCCAGATATAAACCCACACACTTATCGACACCTGATCTTTTTTTTACAAAGATGCCAAAACCATACATTGGAAAAAAAAGATAGGATGTTCAAAAAATAGTATTGGTATAACTGGATGTCTGCATGTACAAAAGTGCGAATAGATCCATATGTCACCCTGCAAAAAATTAAAGTCCAAGTGGATCAAAGATCTCAACATAAAACCAGACACACTAAACCTGTTAGAAGAAAAAGTGGGAAAGAGCCTTGAACTCAATGGCACAGGTGACAAGTTCCTGAACAGAACACCAAGAGCTCAGGCCCTAAAGTATACAATTAATAATTGGATCCTGGTGAAAGTGAAAAGCTTCTGTAAAGCAAAGGAAACTGTCAACAGAAAAAAAAAATAATGACAGCCTACAGAATGGGAAAATGATCTTCTCTAACCGCACATACAATAGAGGCCTAATATTCAGAATATATAAAGAATTCAGAAAATTAGACACCAACAAACAAATAATCCGATTTAAAACTGGGGTACAGAGCTAAACAGAGAATTCTTTATAAAAGAATATCGGATGGTAGAGAAACACTTAAAGAAATGCTCAATGTCCTTAGAAATCAGAAAGGCAAATCAAAATGATTCTGAGATTCCACATTACATCCATCATCAGGGAGACAAAAAAAAAAAAAATGAACTTGAGATTTCACCTTACACCCAATCAGAATGGCTAAGAAAAAAAACTCAACTGAAAACACATGCTGTTGAGGTTGTGGAGAAAGAGGAACCCTCCTCCATTGTGAGTGGGAATGTATCCTTGTACAATGACTTTGGATCAATCTGGCACTTTCTCAGAAAATTAGGAAGAGTGTTACCTCTAGCTATACCACTCCTAGGCATATATCTGAAATATGCTCAACTATACAACAAGGACAATTGCTCAATTATGTTCATGCAGCTTTACTTGTAATAGCCAGAATCTGAAAACAACCTAGATATTCCTCAACTGAGGAATGGAAGTATAAAAGATCATCCTGAATAAGGTATCCCATAAGCAGAGAGCCATTCATGTTATATAGTCACTTATTAGTGGATATTTGCCATATTATAAGGGATAAACATACTAAAAATCTATACTCCTAAAGAAGCAAAACAACACGTTGGATCCTAGGGAAGATACTGAAACTTCATTCAGATTGGAAAACAGGATAGAAACTGGAAATGGTTGGAAGAGAAGAAACAGGACTGGAGCCTACCACAGATGTCACCTAAAAGACGACAACCAGCAATGGATAGAAGCAGATGCAAAAACCCACAGCCAAACTTTGGGCAAGGGGCAGGGAGTGTTATGGAAAAGGGGGTGGGGGTATAAAAGGAGCTAGAGGGGAAAGGATTATTTCTCCTATTAGTGTAGTA